AAACAAACAGGTCTTAGTCGTTAGTTCAGTTGCGTTTGTAGGTGTTCTAGTAAAGTATCTGTTGGGGTACGAAAACGGGAATGTTCTGTCCGTCTTGTTAGACAAAGGGGATTCAGTATGGTCCAGTTGTGAGGGTTGTTTGTCCATTTTGTCTGTAAGTGTATTAGTCTTTCCGAAATTTTGGTTTTTTTTTCATTTTTACACATTTTGAGAATTTACAATATTATATGGGATTGCTCTAGTTTATGGCAACCACAACGTCAACTTTAAATATTTAGTTGGAATACACACACACTTTATTAGATTTTTGTGGTCCACTTGAGATTATGAATATTTTTCATGTAGCATAGCTTATTTTCATCTTCAGCGTGTTCCTAGATATCACAATCTAAATAATAATACGCAGCTGTTCCTTCCCTATTTGTGGATTCAAAGAAAATGTTAAAGTGGGTCGATCTCAGTGTGTTTCGAAAACATTCAGGACGTTCCATTATTTTTTTCTAGATAGTGCTAGACAATTTTTTCACTTCAAGTTGCGCGGTTTCTATATTGAGATTGTTTTCTGTGAACAATGCATAATTATATGTAATTATTAAAAAAAATCGATAAAAAAATGATAGCAGCTTATTCTGATTCAACTATTAAAAGTAAATAGAGTAACAAAATTTAATTTTTTAAAGTTAAAAAAGTAACTTTAGTTAAATAAAGCGGGACGCAGGGAGTGAATCTACAGAAACAATATGGTGATAATGTATGCTGACAATAAAACGACTTTACGTAGCGAACACCGTTACGTAAATTTGAATCCTTACAACTTCTTATTGAGTAATTATTTTCCCAAATTATGGATTTATTGTTTAAGCCGAGTGGTGGTGTTAACAGGATCTGAGTTAGGACTTTCCTCATTTAATTACATTTTTTAAATATTCTATTAGTATTTGTTTACTTTTCATAGACTCAAAGTTTCTTTGCTGATTGCAGATATTGTTAATTACCGGTTCAAGATATTAAAGCTATAAATTGCTTACTTTTTAAAAGATTAAATATTTTCTATACTAAATATGTTTTTTGCAGTTTATTCGATTTTTAATGATTGTATTTACAAAGTGAAATTAATTAATATCGTCGTTAATTAAATAACACTACGAAATAGTATGTATGTAAATGTTTGTAATGTTTAAAGATATAACATGTATGTTAAGGTTTGAAAACACTACAATTGTTGAGGAGAGGCACAAAAATTCAGGAGAAAATCATCAAAAATATCCACTGTTATATTTTTTCCGTTTAATAACATTTAACATGGCATTGTATCAAGATTTTGTTAAATCGTATTACTAATAAAAATCAAATAAAATAAATTAAGCGCACTTACTGCAACAACGCACAAACTGTAAACTGAAATAGTAATGGACAAAACTCGCTACTAGAATAAAAACGATTTTTTACAATATTTACAAATATTTATTTTAATGTCCTTTCGGAATTTTTGCCTGCCTGATTCCATTGCGTAATTTTTGAAAATTTTGTTTTTTTCAGCGCTTTGTCGAGGCCTATAATTTATCTCTGGATCCATACGAACTGAAAAATGTATACCCCCAAATGAATACAAAGCTTATAAGGTTTTACAACAATATTCTGAATAAGTTCAGAAAGTGTTCAGGGCGGTCTTGCAAGACTTTATGAAAGTAGCGTTTTTCTAAACACGACCCACAACGAAAAACAATAAACTGGTGATACTTCGGTACAATTGTTGTCAATTTTAACGTTCTGCATACAAGATATTTTGCATCAGATATTCAGTTATTTCACCGGTTAGAAATTTTTCTATGATTTATGTTTAGTAACAATAGTATTCCAATAGCATTTTTTGGTTTAAGATTCGAATTTGAGATAGAAGTATAAGCAAAGCAAGCAACAACCCTTTTTTTGTTATTTAATGTCCGGCCCTGTGAATAAAAATTTTTTTTTTAATTTATTTTCATAGGTAATAATTTTGTTGACATGAACTAAGCAATCGATATCAACTCCTGTTTCCTACCATTTTTACAAATTAACTGTCAGTATTTTTGAAACTAACTATTTACTAGTATTATATGACGAAACTAATAAATATACTTAACTTAATCAATTTTATACCTAAAAGTATTTAGTGGGATTATAGAGACTGTAGTTTACACACCGCTTTACTTGCAAAGCAACGAACATATTTAAAGGTTTGTGATTGTTAATTACTCATTGCAGTTTCCGCTTAACTGATTTATAGACAAGTGTTTTGATGTTAAGTGTTTTGTGATGCGTCGAGCGCCAAAAAAGTATTAGTTAATGAAGTATCTGTAATTGCAAGAATAATTCATTATCTGTGCCGATTTAGAACTGATACCTATGGAATCATTTAATTAATATTTTTGATTAATTAAAATAAGTTATTTAATCACATGAATAATGTGCATCACACAATACAGTGTTTATTCAATAATGTACTTATTTATATTTGCTAAAAAAGTACTTAAGTAAAGTTTTATTCTTGACAAAAATCAAGCTTTCATTCTTGCATCGTCAGAAGAATTCGCTTGTAATTCTTTTGAGCCACTGTATAATCTTTATTATAAAATAGCTTCAGCAGAATTAGTAATTTGAATTGTATTGCTTCTAGTTGTTTCAAGGAATCATTGGAACCGGCATACATTCTTGCCATTGTCGATTATGAGTTTGTCAGTATTTTTGCATTTATGTTCGAGCTAACAAGCTGTTTATCTACTAATTTAATAT